CCCTTCCAGATACACAGGCAGCTACTGCAAGCACCAATCTCCCAAACAGGAAACACACGAATTCCCCAACTCCCGAACTGGAACTATGCGAATGCTGTAAACAGCCGAACAGGAAAAACCATACGAACAGTTTACACTCCTGGCAGTCACACTGTAACAGCATACAATCCAATTCCCCCCAAGAACGAGACAACACTTCGTTTGAGGGTCAAGCAAAACTGATTTACTGGGCTGCCTGCCCGGCTTTTATGCAGGTCTTCCACCTGGTGGACACTCCCTTAGGACCAGATGGAAAACTGGGATACATAGTGGACATTGACCAATCACAAGCTTACACATTTAAATACTCCCGCAATGCATTATAATCCCTCCTCTCTGTTCTGGAGATAATTGGGAAGTAATTCAATTATCTCCAAGGACAGAGGCAAAACTCCATTAGCCATATGATAGTAAAAAGACATAAAATTACACTGTGTTACCATTACTACATAAAACATGTACATTCAACATATCCCCAGATAGCTTAGATCTGAGCGCACATTGTTACTGAATGGCGCTCAGATCACATACATACAGTTCAATCGCCATGGAGCCAAAGTCTTTCCCATAGTCTTTCGGTATACGAATGGGCTCCATGGCTTACCTATCTGGGGTAGCGCTGTTCATACATTAAAATTACGAATGGACCGAACGCAGGAGAAGGGAGGTCGGCTGCTCAGCGGTGTTTGTGCAAATAAGTGTCCGTTTTCAGCTCCATTTTGTAGCTGAATACCACTGGCCATTCGGGAGTTTAAGATAACCGCTGCCACGTGTTCGATCATATGAACAGCAACCACCCAGCGTTCACCAATTAAGCTGCGGTTAACCGCAGCTTCTGGGAGGTAAATCCCTGGCACACTCCTTGCCCAGGTGGTCCCTTCATTCGTGCTTTGGTTCGGTAGATTCAATCTACCGAACGCCCAGGCAGAAAGGCATGAACAAGCCTTACTGCAGGTAAAATAAAAGTTTTTTAATGCGGGGCCATAGTACAAAGGCCGCAGGTGAGCAATCAGGCTTCTCCAGTCCTTCGTGGCGAGGTTGGTTCAGCCACAGCTTTTTATATTCCTTTTCTCAGATTTGCCATGGCTAATCGTTAAACATCCCGGTCTCCCCCTCTGAAAGCAATGTCCGGCTCATGTAATAAAGATCTTACTTCTTTATTCATCCATGGCTTCTGGTTTGGAAAGAGTTTTCTTTTTCTTTAATGACGTTGCTGTATCCACACAGTTGTTAATATGATCCAATACAGCATTAGTGTATAAAACAATATTATTATTATTATTATGCTATTTATATAGCGCCATCAAATTCTGCAGCGCTTTACAATGGGTGGACGAACAGACATGTAGTTGTAACCAGACAAGTTGGACACACAAGAACAGAGGGGTTGAGGGCCCTGCTCAGTGAGCTTACATGCTAAAGGGAGTTTGGTAAAATGACACAAAAATGTAAGGATAGTGTTAGACTAGTGACAGTTGCAGAAGAGGAGTCAGTCGGGAGCTAGTAACAGTTTAATTGATACGCTTTTATGAAGAAGTGGGTTTCTAACGATTTTTTTAAGGAGTGGAGACTGGGTGAGCATCTAAGGGAGGAGGGAAGCGAGTTCCACAGGAACGGTGCAGCCCTCAAGAAATCTTGAAGGCGAGCATCAGAGGTGGGAGTATGGACAGAAGATAGACGTAAATCTTCAGCAGACCGTAAGGGCCTAGACGGGACATACTTGTGTATAAGGGAGGATAGATAGGTGGGAGCAGCATTATGTAGAGATTTGAAAGCAAGAACCAGAATTTTAAAGCTCTATATCTTATAGGAAGCCAAGGTAGGGACTGACAGAAGGATGAGGCATGGGAGGTGCGGGCAGACAGGAAGATGAGCCTCGCCCCCGCATTCATTCATTGGACTGTAATGGTGCAAGTTGGGAGCACGTAAGGCCACTGAGAAGCGGATTACAGTAGTCAAGGCAAGAAAGGACAGTGGAATGGACCAGCACCTTAGCTGCATCTGGTGTTAAGTAGGGGCGGATGCGCGCAATATTTTTGAGATGGAAATGACAGGATTTATTGATAGACTAAACATGAGGCTTAAAGGAGAGGTCAGAGTCAAAGAGAACACCTAGGCTGCAAGCCTGCGTAGTGGAGCTGATGGTAGCACCGTTGACTTGGAGGGAGGGAGACACAGGAGTAACAACACTTGAGGGAGGAAAGACAAGAATTTCAGTTTTGGTCAAGTTTAGTTTAAGGAAGTGGGCAGCCATCTAGTTCGAAACAGCAGAGAGGCAGTCAGAGACACGGACAAGAGGGACGGGGAGAGATCAGGAGAGGACAGGTAGATTTGCATGTCATCTGCATAGAAATGATATTGGAAGCCAAAGGAGCTAATGAGTTTACCAAGTGAGGCAGTATAGATGGAGAATAGTAGGGGACCAAGGACTGAACCTTGGGGGACACCAACAGAGAGGAGTTGGGGAGAAGAAGCAGAGCCAGAGAAATAAACATTGAAAGAGTGCTGGGAGAGGTAGGAGGAGCACCAGGAGAGAGCAATATCTTATAGACCGATATTGTGGAGTATGAGGAGAAGCTGTTGTGATCAGCAGTGTCAAAAGCCGGAGACAGGTCAAGGAGAATTAGGATAGTGTAGTGACCACAAGATTTTGCAACGAGTAGATCATTGGATACTTTGGTCAGTTCCGTTTCCACAGAGTGCTTAGCGCGGAAACCAGACTGAAGCGGGTCTAGCAGAGAGTTGGACTCGAGGAAATCTGTCAATCTCGCATACAGTATCAGTGTGGGAGTCCACAGTAGCTTGTGCATGAAATCCTGTCCAGTCAGTATATTATAATTGATGCTGTAATGGGACATCTGCTCCCTGTCCATACCGATAGCTTCACTCTTTTAATAAGTGAAATTTATTTAGGCAGCAGAAAAAAGTGATATTTAGTCTATCTTCCTAACATGATAAAAAGTGAATAGCTTTGTAAGACCCCTCTGACATTGGACTAACAGCAGAATTGGTTATGCGGTTTATCTTCACTCTTTATTCCCCTAAAAAATGGATTATACATTTCATTTATTATCTGATTCACTTCTTACATATTTGATTTTATCTTGTTTATATAAGAAATTTTTTTCCCATCTCAGATTTTAATATTTTATATATACATTTCATATACAAATGTTTAGTTTAAAGACTGATAAGACAATACATGCTATATTTTATAGTGTTAATTTATACTAATTTCTGTTTATTTCCCATTAAGGGATGATTGCCCATATAAGAGACTTTGGAGTAATCGAGACTTTTGGAACAAAGTGTGGAGGTGACATATCTGCTACTCAATACAGGAGGAGGAACTCAGGCGCAAAGGCACGGAAGTGGCGTATCGCTAGGGATCACAACGCCACTTCCACCAGACCGTGAACAATATGGTGAGTCTCTAAAGGTCAGTCCATTAAGGGATGTGACGTATTACCGTACCCGCAACGTCATGGGCCGCCCGGTAGAGGAGGCTCGGCACGCGGATTCTAATACATGATGACAGTCTACATCAAGGACAGCCAACTGAGGAAGCTTGTAAAAGTTAAACGCGCTTTGGCATCTAGCAGGAACTATCCAGGAAATTGTGGAGTAGTGTGATTATTTTTTTTTAACTATTTATTGTTTTAAAAATATTAATACATTTTTCTCATTTTGGTGCACTCTGTGTCAAGCCTGGTTCTGCAGTTTTTACTGTCCATCCATGGGGAAGAGTCACCCAAAAAGTTGAAACTAAGCCTCCTAGCCTCAGAGCCAAGATTTTAGGCTCTATTCAAGGTGGGCTTAACATTGAAATCTCTGATAAATAGACCAGCCCATACATATTTCACTATTGTGTTTTTCTCTCTTACCTTTTTTTCCCTGAGATCTACATTTCTATCAAAGAGGAGGTGTGATGCTGCCTTATGAACCTAAAGGTGCAATCTACTGACCAAGTACTCACAGGCTCTTATCCATGGTAAGCAATTGCATGTTTTATTGTATTTAAAGCACTCCACTATTTTATATGGGCTTTTTACCTATATAACACTTTTTGCACAATTTTTAGACTATGTGACTGCTAACCAAGCCATGCCACTCTTACTACCATCCGTGTTGGTCAGAACTGACATAGTCTAGATTACTGGCAGCATCTGGGTCGGCCCAGGCCTTCATGTGCCCTGTGTAAATCTAGTGATGTCTGTGTATATCTCCTAACTGACAATGTTGGACATTTGAGGGTGACCCATAAGTGTTCACTCTCACTATCTAAGCTGACTAACAGCTATCCTAGTCAGGGGAGAATATGTATTGTATTAAGGACAATACAGTATGTTATAATTACAATACCATTAGACTCTTCCATGCAGAACAGTATGTTGTTCAGTTCTATAAATACTCAGGGTGGTTGTTTATCAAGTCTCCAGAGGTAATTCTCAAGTCCAAGGGTAGAAGTTATGTTTTCTTCACAATCAGACTTTGATCAGTTTTCAGTGACTTCAGTCTTGAGACAGAGACACCAAATGCAAAAAATAATACAATCAAGTAGGAGGTACTACAGCCCTAAAGGGACAGTCATTATTATGCTAGTTCACTTCATCAGAATGAATGACCAATCAAATTTGGCTCTTCTTATCAGAAGTGGCTGGATACAAAATTGCGTACAACCATCGGAAAACATTTTCTCTGAGATAGCAGAACTTAGCCTGCACTAAGGTAACCTGTGAGCTGAACTACTGAATAAAGTAAATTAATTTTAATATAAATTATAATTAATATACAATTTAATTAAAAAACCATTTGATTCACATCCTAGATGTCTCCTAGATATGTGTTAATCATATGATTTAGAATGATACGATATTGTTTGCATTTTGGATATGTTTGAGGTTGCCATGATTAGTTACTATTTATAAGGGATCATTTCACCAGGTAGACTTAGCAGAGCTGATCACAGCACTTCAGCAATTCACCATGAGTTCCACCGGCCACAAGCATTATCATGATAAGAATTACCCGGCAAAAAGATTTGTTGAAGTTTACTTTTCTGATGATCGTTTCCCATTAATAGATGAAAACACGGAGTTTCCAATGGAACACATTCATAAAGACATTGATTCAGGTCTGTAAAATGTACTATTTATTAACATGTGTAAGAGCTCTCATTTTTTACATTGATTCTATGGAATGAAATATGCAATAGAAAACTGTCTTTTTTTTCTGCATATCAATTACTTTCAGAATGGCTTTAACCCCTTAAGGACCAAACTTCTGGAATAAAAGGGAATCATGACATGTCACACATGTCATGTGTCCTTAAGGGGTTAATCAAATTAGTGAAGTATCAGTTGGATCAGTTTAAATACACCCACAGTAGTGAGTATTGAGTACTTAATTCATTAATTTCAATTCAGATTTCCTAATTCATCACAGAATACTAACATTCAATGTGGAGAGACAGTGACATTGTAAAAGACAGATGTGTGTGAAGTGGTTAGATGTATGGACACCTAAAAGAAAAATGTTTATAGGAAAGACTTCAAGGGAAATCCATCTGGGGTGAGAAACTTAAAAGAGGTGTCTATTGCAATCAGACCCTTCACTTCCTTGCACTTTTTTCTTGAAGAAAAGAAATTAGCATAACATTTGAAACAAACGATACATAACTAGCACATAAATGTATAATTGATGTCTGATAGCATAAAAGCAAAAATACAATTCTCAAATATAAGAGGTGAGACAAAAATATATGAATAAATATGGTCAAGCGGAGCCTGATACCGTTACTAGCTTTAGATACTGAAAATTACAAGAGAATGTAAATAGAATGTCTGTCTTTCAATATAATATCCAAATATAGTATACAGTTCTAAATCCTATATTTCTAATATATGAGTATACAACCAGTGAAGGCTCCAACATTGATGTTTGCATCTATTTATAATATATAAGTTTTGGCCTGTTTGTACATATTGCCCTATGAGTATCTGCATCCTGCCTCTTGGAGGGAGTTGGACCATATCATTACTAAGAAGAATTTTATACCAGTATATACTGACACTTAGTGATTCTCTATACCATCACAGTGTAGATCAGTAACCATAACCAGGTTAAGGAGGCTATAGAAAAAAAAACTGAAATCAAATATAAGAATTGATTATTATCCCTTCCTTTCTATTGCAAATCAATATAACATTTTCGATTTTCTATTTATTATTTTTTTTTTTTTATTGTTATTATTATTATTTTTTATTTTATTTTTTATATATTTCACTGATGTCCTGGAAGACAGTTTGTGCCTTTGGGAAATCACTGAGATAGATTAGGGTATTTTTTTTTAACTGTTTGCCTGCTGGCTTCTAGTGCTTTTTGGTGGTGAAATGTCAAGGCCATTTGTCCCGAATGATGTCCAATATCCCTGGACATAATTGAAAACAAGAATAATCTCAATGTATTCTTCCTGGTAAAATATTTTCTAAATAAATAAATAAAATGATTTCAATTAATTTCAATGCTATTATCGATTCTCGTTACGTTTGAAAATCTATATTATTAAAAATTGTATTTCTGAGAAGGCACTGGCCGCACAGGTGATACTGGCGGCTAGAGCTCTCATAGCGCTCAATTGGAAATTAACCATTTGCCCGTCTGAAAAGAACCACATGGACAAAATCCGACTAAATTATGTGTATGATATCTCTTCTGCGATAGCTCCCAACCAAAAACATAAAATAGCTAAAACCTGGGAACCTTGGTGTCGCCACTATCAATTCCAGCCTCCATAAAACCATCACCCGGCCTAAGACCCGGATCATACATACACCTGTTAATAACAATAATATAAAAAAAAAATGGATTTTAGTGCAGGGAACTCCGCGGTTCCCCCCCCCCCGGGCCTCCACCACCGCCTAAGGAGACAGCCATAAGAGCCCAGATAGAGGCTGGATAGCTAACAGATTGTGTTTTCCCTCATGTTAAACTTTTCTTGGTTATAACTATATTATACCTTATTTTTTCGGTTTCACTTTTTGTTCAGGGAGGTTCAGGCTGAGCATCGCCTTGACACTTGAGCAATACCTCACAGAATACCACACTTCTCGGGGATACATGGGAGGCATTAACAGTGTATGCAGGGAGCCCCGTCCAGTAGAGGGACAGTAAGACCCTGAACGCAAGAGGTCCAAACCTTGAGCCTCCTTGAACTCCCCCCCCCCCCGAACACCCTACAAGGTTAAGGTATGCGACATATAAGCAAATCGCACAACAACTAGGCTCGAAATAACTAGAGCATCGCCCTGAGTGCACGCAAGAGGCTGATAGCTACATGGCCTCATCGACGAGATACAACTGGAGGTTGAACAGTGGGGTATAGGTAGTGCCCGTTCTGACTTGGGTTGAGCAGCGACTACTTTACGCCCAAACAACTGCGCTCCTAGATAGGTGGGGATTAACATGAAATGTGAATGTCATTGTGATGTATCAGATTCTCTGTATTGTAACCCTGAACTCCTTACCCTACCCTTTTTTTCTTCTGCACCCCCACCCTTCTCTCTTTTGCGATTGAAAAATAATAAACTCAATTAATAAAAAAAAAAAAAAATTGTATTTCTCAGCTTTGGAGAAGCCATTAATGGTGGTAATGCAGTTGATTTAAATGAATAAAAGGATTATCAGGAGCTAACAGCCTGAACTGAACTAGTTTGTGATGTCAACTTCTACACCTTTAAATAACATTTTAAACAAAACACAATATCCATATGAAAAAATAATAGCACAAATTCCAGAGAGATGACAGCTACCTATTAATGCAAATCAGATCGCTGTAAGATTTTGAACAGTTTCATCATCACCATTTCAGTCATATAACCATATCTGAGTTGCAAGAGGCATTGTATAGAATGTTCATAAACAGCCCTTCCCTTTTATCATCTACAGGAGTCGTGAAGGGAGAAACATTGATTGATTTCAGTATTGGAGCCACAGCAAACCATCTTATACCAGCCTGCAATGGATTCAAAGATATTTACGTGGTAGAAGTTAATAAGGTCAACATCAATGAATTTGAGAAATGGCGTCAAAATAAAGAAGACGCTGTTAACTTCTCATATGGAGCGAAGGTTCATCATAAGCTAGAAGGAGGCAGGTAATGTATGATTTAGACAATATATTATCACTTTTTGTCATTCTGTTAATGGGAGTCTGCATCTCTTCACAGCATTAATTTATATCTGCTGAACTGATGCCTTGTCTCTTGTTTCAACAATAAAATGCAGAGATGATTATGGAACTATAAAACGTCTATAAAAATGACTTTTTATCCAGTGCTGAAGAGAAACTTGTTTTAAAGTAGGTAAACTGAAATATAAACCACATTATAGTTGTTTTTTTTTATTTATTAAATTTTTATAACAATATAAATGGACAGAACAACATCTGGGGGTAGGAACCATACAAAAAAATAAGGACTCCTAACCGCAATAGACATACATAGGTATATTGACCTGTTTCAAATTACAGCAGAGATAAGCCATCTGGTACAAATTAATATACTAACAATAATATCCCAAAAAGGGAATATCAAGGTCTAAGAGCAGCCTTAAAACCTATCTAATTAATACAAACAATAACAAAAACAAACTGGTCAAATATATTGCAGAGATATAGAAGATCAAAAAATTCCAATATTACATTAGGTAATATCAGATATGTGGTCAAGGAACCCGTATGATAGTGCCCACTACGGTATTATCGGTAAGGCATAAGGTGGTCATAAAAAGTAACCCCAACGCCTCAAACTCATTAAAGCCCTTTAATTTTCTCAGCAAGACTGGAATAAAACATCAGAATATTAAGATTGGAATATTCTCTCAAATGAATCAACCCATTTTCCATCTCAACTTGATATAAGAGTTGGGCTTTAACTTGATCTCTAGTAGGAATGTCAATGCTTTTCCAAAATCTAGCAAGTAATATTTTGGTAGCCATTAAGCAATGTATAATCCCAATATCTAGATTATCTTTTATTTCGAAACCCATAAGATGGAGTACTTTGTAAAAGTTGAGAAATCACCATGGAAATAATTGGAATTACTTTCGCCTATTGCTTTGATTTCAGAACTTCACGACTTTTCTCCGAGAGACAATATTTTGTTGAATCTCCTTCAATGTATGAAAGACATGAGTATTGTAATATCTGTGTTTTTCCTATTACAGAGAAGCATGGCACTTGAAGGAAGACAAAACAAGACAAGCAATTAAAGGCGTAATACAATGGGATATTGCTAACGATGATCAGGTCCCTGTCGATTTACCCCAAGCAGACTGTGTTCTCAGTCTATATCTGTTGCATGTTATCAGCAAAGACAAAGAAGCCTTTCAGAGTAACCTGAAAAAAATGACATCCAGACTTAAAATAGGGGGGAGCCTGTTACTATTTTTAGGCACAAATATGACATTTTATAAGGTTGATGATCACAAGTTCTTTTTTTTAACAATCGATGAAGATTTTATGAAACAGGCTGTAATTAAAGCTGGTTTTGTCATTGAAAAGTGGAATGCATTGCCTAGCAAAAAAAACTGTGATCTGGTTGATTATGATTCCATAATTTATGTAAGATGTCGCAAGGAAAGAAATGTTTAACCATTTTATTACAAAAAACATGTGAGTGGTCAAACATGTACCATCACATGTTATACTATAGTAGAAATCAAAATGACTTCTATACATAAAATATCACCAGTGATTACCAGTGAAGATGATAAAAGTAGTCATGTTGAACAGATTGTGTACAACAGTAAATAATACTCACCAAGAATGTAATTCAAGATATAAGATTTTTGCTCTACATCCATTACTGCTGAAATATTTAATTCATAAATTAAAACATATGTTATAATGAATTCCTAGCCATGTATTTACATTGTTTGATTCATTGATATAGTTCATGGACCTCCAATTTTTGGAATATTACAACCGAACCAAATAAAATAAAATTTAAGATATATATTTTTTTAATTCTTTATTTTTCTCAAAACACATTAGTTGTCAACATATAGGATTGTATAGCGTAGTCTGGTTGAGTACCATTTTAACAGCATATTATCGAGTACATTAGGCATCAGAAGAGAAATAAGAGCCGCAATGCATTAAGTATGCTAGTGAAGTGAGGTGTTTTGGTGTTTTTTTGAGTTTCAAGTTATATCTTCGCCTCTGATCTTCCAGGGAATCGATTCTGTGGTCGATATTCAGCTTGATTTTGATTTTTCTTTTGGTTTTATATTTAATAGTTACAATAAATGTATTATTTTTTTATACTAAATCCCATTGGCTTTTTACCTTAATTTGCTGCTAAAGAAGGGCAGGTGCCCCCCTCTAGAGGCACCCAGGTTTACCATCCTGAGCCAGGTTTCCATTGGCTCAGAAAAAGGTGAGCACAACCATAACTACTGCAATTTCGATTCATGTTGAAACATAGTACACTAGGAAGTCTCCCTTTTCTTGTTTCTTTCTTTGAGGAAATGCTTTCCAGTTAAAGGGTGCAGTGTCTCCATACGACACTACTGAGGAAGTGATTTGAGCCTGTCCATTTGAGGCTCTAATCTATGTGAGTTTGATTATTGGAAATATCACTACAATATATTTTTATTTGCAGATTTACACTATATTGTGCTGTATTTTTTTGTTTCATTTACATGTATCCACATATATCTGAGACTTAACCCTATCTTAAGGTAAGTGTATATATTCAGCGCTCCACTCATTCGATTTAGTACAGTCTGGACATTATGTCCAGATTGCACTAAACTCACTTTGGTTCACTTCTATATTTAGTGGGGAAAAGGGAGCACCCAATAGAGTGTGTAGCTGCTTTCTATCACTCAATTATATCTATAAGCGCACTTGACACAGTAATCACTAATTTTTGTAATATATATATATATATATATAAACATGTATTATATCTATATATAATATGTACATATATATATATATACACATATATATATATATATATATATATCTTATATATAACGTCATACTAAGTGTATTTTTATATTAATATATATCTCAAAGTTCCTTGTACTACATGCTTCAAAGGTGTATGTATAGCTTACATGCTGGGTGCTGGATCCAGGTCACAGATATCCAGAGAATTCAAAAGATGGTCCACACTCCAGGCTCCATTTAAAAAATAACTTTTATTCTTACATCAAAGTAAAAGATTATGTGCCAAAGGTCAACGTTTCAGTCCCAGTTCGGGACTTTCATCAGGACAGCATGATATATATATATATATATATATATATATATATATATATATATATATATATATATATATATATATTGAATACCCTGGGTTGTCTACGTTAAAAAAAATATGTACATGTGAGTTGTGATTCAGAGATTTCTGACAGATAACAGTGTTACAATGTCACCATTGATACATTTTAAAAATATATACTTTGAAACAATGTCCTACTTGTACTTATAGCCCTATAACTTGCAAAAAAAGCTAAGAACATGTTGACTTTGGGTATTTCTAAACTCAGGACAAAATTTAGAAACTATTTAGCACAGGTGTTTTTTGGCGGTTGTAGATGTGTGACAGATTTTCGGGGTCAAAGTTAGAAAAAGTGTTTTTTTTTAATTTCTTCATCAAATTTATAATTATTTTTATAGTAAATTATAAGATATGATGAAAATAATGGTATCTTTAGAAAGACCATTTAATGGCGAGAAAAACGGTATATAATATGTGTGGGTACAGTAAATGAGTAAGAGGAAAATTACAGCTAAACACAAACACCGCAGACATGTAAAAACAGCCCTGGTCCTTAACGGTAAGAAAATCGAAAAGCGGTCTGGTCACTCAGAGGTTAATCTAGAACACATTAAATGCTAAATATATTATAAAAACTCTCACTCCATCAAGAATACCACTGCAACCATTTTAACATTACACTATCACTATGGAAATCGTTCTCTATTTTACATTCACAAACAGGATATCTAAATAAACACTCAAATACCTCCAGTAGGTTCAGTCTTTATTTTGATTTCAGTTTTCTCTGACTCTCCTTTCTAGAAACTCAATATTGTTGATTTGTGTAATTAAAGTATCATTAAATAATATTTACAAAAGTTAATCAGGAATACATCATTGATTAATGCTCAACATCAGGGTCAACACCTGATCAGCCTTGGACAGGAGGGTAAATTAATCGGGCAATTTCCTGCACAACACGTCTCCTCACAGGATGAAGCGTCTGCCCCCAAAAACAGAAGTCCCGGCTTTTTATAATTGTATAAATAGGAGCTAATATATGCAAGTGACATGCACATGTGAGAGTGCAGTTTACAAGACATCAGCCCACTCCGGAGCACTGACCAGATGACCAGAGTGTCCTGAGTCACTCTGATTCTGAAACTCTGGGCAGTGTGCCCAGAATATTGCAAAGTCATAGGATACTGTTTTTTTCTTTTAACAAAAAAACTTTAAAAAGTGATGATTAATATATAGCCACACAACTAGCAATAATGGTGGATGTGTGCGTAATAACATGACCACTCATTCTCTAAATGCAACAAATTACAACCAGTTCACTTTTCATTGCACCGCACATTTGTTTTGACAAATGCTGCTTTCTTATATTTTAGAGAAGCATGGCACATACATTAAATCAAGAATGAAACAAATTCTAAAATGGGTTAATTCTATGGGCAATCATCAAGTTAGTCCCAATTTATCACAAGCAGACTACATGACTGTTAACCAGGCCCTGTTAGTCTAAGTGACAACGTCAGATATAATAGGGTGACCCATAATTGTTGAACATTAATATCTAAAGATATGTATGAATCATAAGCTGACTAACAGCGATCTGTTACAATTTGGCCCTGGTTTCTCTGGCACAAAAGTTGTACCAGTTCAGGACTACAATCATCTGTGGGTTTCTTTGTATAATCTGCACCACTAAC